CAGTAATTTTTATTTTATTATTGCTTTTTAAGATGCCCCTTGTTCAGCCATAACATTGCAAGAATCAAATGATCTAAGCCACCTTCAACGTCCATGGAGTTTTACAAAAGTTTCTACAACTTAGCTTTTGCTTTATTTTCTCTCTCTGCTAAATGTTTGCCGTACACCGTAAAAGGATGAGCAGGATGGTGCTAAGTATATCAAGCAGCAAGCATCTCCTACTTATCAGCTTTGGAAGCATTAGCTAGTACAGGGAAAACATCTATTTCCAAACCTGCAAAATTAGAAAGAGCTCAGAAAAGTCTTGTGGAACAGGGAGGAAGGCACAAGTCCCTATCATTCTCTCTGCATAATCAGGGCAGAAGTGAAAGCAATGATGTTACTAGCAGCAGCTGTTTGTCTGTTTCTCATTAGACACCTCTATTTTTTTCAAAAAAAATTATAAAATCCTAGTTCTTATCTTCTTTTGAAACCAGTTTGATGGTGAGCTATAGAACTAATCAGGGGAAAGCAGCAGCTGCTCTTTTCAAATCTCTCCTTAAAATTTCCTAGCTAGACCCATCTATCTTTTCACAGCCCCATTTCTGCCTTCTTCTGGAAGCCTTTAAAGAACACAGCGCATCATGTTGTTTGTAACAGTTGGCAAATGCTTCTTTTAAGAGTGTTTGTACATTTGCGGATTGATCTTTTTATGATCAAAGATTAAATAACCCCCCACAAAAGAAAAAAAGTTCTTTTGAAAAGAAACTAATCAAATTCAGGCAGAGAATGCAGGAGGGAGGATTATTTTTTTTAATTACCTCATTGTAATTAGGAAGTCCTTTTCCTAACAAAAAAAATCTCCCTCTTCCCAATAAAAATAGCAACAACAGCAACAATTGATAATGATGTAGCAGTATCAATGTGTTTGCTGCTTTACAAAGCAAAAAACCACAGCAGAAAAGACAAGGCGATGTCCCCAGGAACTTACAATCTGAAATTTAACAAAGGGAGAGACAACCAAGGAAAGGAAGATGTAGAGGTCATGACGTGCAGCCCCCTTCCAAGGAGCATTTAAAGAGAAATTCTGTTAAGTTGTAGGTGAACATATCAGACGACACAGCGATTCTTCAAACAGCTCTTGTTTATTCACAGGCCAGAACAGAACTGAACTGAAGGGTTCAGCCAGCCTGCTTATATAGAGCTCCACTAGAACGCAACAGTAACCATTTTCTGTAACTATCCGATCACTGAAGGTCACTTTCGGTCCCTTATTTGCATATGTGGACCTGAACTATCTACAGTATCCCCCTGCTGGCCCAGGGTGAGAACTTCAGTACATAACAGATTCTTTGATATTGTGCTCATGGAGCTGTCCTAGCTTAAAATGTTGGAATGAAGAAAGAGGCATCCCTTTGTTATAAGAATGTTAAGGTCTCAAATATAAAATAAATATTCATAAACACACACATATCTAAATATATGAACCATGTGTCTGAAATAGTATGGGAAAGCAACCCTGAAGCCATTTTGACTCTCCCAATGACCTCAAATATTCCTCTGCAGTAAGGGAGGCAAATGGGGAAAGCCTTGCCATTGTCTTTTTTCCTGCAAATCCTGTCTTAAGGGTGCATTTGTGTATGAATAGGGCGAGCCTGTGACCTGGTTTCAGGTACTAAAGTATGAAACATTGCAAAAGAATGGCCAGACTGTCCAGCTAATGCAATCAATGACCATTATGAGGCAGTTTTTCTTATAACACCTTAGACAAGCTTGTGAGTACAATATGGACCCATGTGTGGTTCAGTTTGTTGGCGCTGGGAAGCCACTTCAGCAGGCCACTACTAACTGACATGTAGTGCTAAATAAATCTTTGGGTAAAATAGCAGCAAGGCTGCATACCAAGCAGAGAAATGACTAGCTAGGTCAGTTCTCTCTTATCCTTTTTAAGCCAGAGCAAGGTGGCATATGTGCTAGAGTAGGACTAGTGCTATTTTATGTATGAATTTATTTCATACAATTGCTCAAAACACACAAATCACTCTGGAGCTCAGTCACTCAGTTTCTGCTTCCAAATTAGCTGTTGCCGAGTCTGAATTCCGCCCCTTCCTCTTTCCACTTTTAAAGTCCCACTCACACTTCCTTTCCTGTTCACACCTCTCATTAATTCTTGCATGCCTACGCGTCTTGGGATAGGCTATTTCCGATGGCCCTCCCAATGAGTCTTATCTTAAACTGTCAGTCTGTGTCTCCTCCTTGGAACTCCCTCCTTCCTTCTCCTTGTTCTCAGAACTCAGGCTTCTACTGCAACTTGGCTGCTCCTCCCTCGTTCCGAATTCCTGCCTCCTGTCTCTCCAAGCTTTCCCGCTCTGTCAGCAATGGGACACAGCTGACACAGGCTTTCCTTGTGCTCATAGGGGTGACATGGTCATCAAAGATGGAGAGGCCATGTGCATCCCCCTGAGTTTTGCTGACACGATAGAGAATCTTAGAATTCTAGTGTTGGAAGGGATCCCAATAGTTATCTAGACCAACCCCCTGCAATCTCAGAATCCTGCGCACAACTGTCCCTTGTAAACAGCCAGATGCACTGACCAATTGTGCAATATTTATTTAGTATTATTATAGCCTCCTCTTCATTAAAATTAATTAATTAAAGACTCAGCATTAAAAAAAAACACGCCAAATCATAAAGCAAATATTATATGACAAACAGAGCAAATTACGTAACAAAGATCACACACATATTCAAATTGAATGCATGGCAGAAAGAAGTTGAAATTATTTCACACTTAGCTTTGGATTAGGATCAGAATTTAGTCACTTGGGTCTGTATTCTGTGCCAACATTTGCAAAAATGCAACATCTTGCCCAGAGACACAAAGCACAAGACTTAGTCCAAAAGCAAATGTTTTGAAGTCTTATAAGGAGTTACAGGTTCAGTGGTTCAGAGATGCACACTGTGTGTGTGTGTGTGTGTGTGTGTGTGTGTGTGTGTGTGTATTCTTGTCTGGGTTTAACAGATTTGCCCAAACAGCTGAGGTTGTCCTTGAATATTGATAGAAAAGCACTTTGGTTCTTCAAAACAAACACAAAACCAACAGTTCACACACACAGAGAGAGAGAGAGGGAGAGAGAGAGAGAGAGAGAGAGAGAGAGAGAGAGGAAAACATTAGAAAGGAGGTCATGGCTGGATTTGTTGTACAAATGAGTTCTCCTGTGACTGCATGATCTCATCAAACTCTTCTCGATTTAAAGAAGTGTAGAACAATGGCTGACCTTCAAGCCCAGCATGAGAAAATGTGGGCAGATTTCCCACAAGAAAAGCCCACCTAGAAAATAGTAAGACATTCCCACACACAAGATGGTTTCTACATGATTGTTTAATGACCCCGTAAACAAATATTTTCTTTCAGTTAGATTGATCCTATGCATAGAAAACATGTAGCAAGGACCCCGTATTTCAACAAACAACATGTCCAGTACATTTATGCTATCTTGTCCTTGCTGTATAGATTCGTTTTGGGAACATTTTTCAAATATTGCTGGGAGGTTGTGGCCAATGAGGCTAGGCTACTCAAATTAGTTCCAGCTAACTCTTATTCCAGGCCATTTAAGGAGAGAGGAGGTAGAAAATACTGACACTGATGTCCGTGGGGCTTTACTGAAGCATCGCCAGACAATTTGCGCTGCTTCGTCATGAGTTTTAAAAGAACCTATTGCATCTGCTTAGAAAAACCAGCTTTAGCACAGCGAATGAGTGACAACGCAAGGATGTCCTTGCTGGCTTAAACCAATTACTGTGGGAAATAGATACTTCTGATCAGCAGGCTGCTGCTGCCTTTCTATCAGAAAAAGTTGTTGTCTTTGTCTTCTTCTTCTTCATTTTTCAATCTACTGCGGTTACTGTAGATATAAATGAGATAAATCACTGCACAATTAAAACGAGAGAGAGAGTTAAACTCTACAAGTACTGCCAGCGGAACTGACAGGGGCACATCCAACTTTATTACAGCAGTTGTGTATTACTTCTCTTTTTTTGGCATCACCCTACAAACAGGTCACGATTTTGATTTATATTTTGCCATCTAAAATGCATAAAAGATGTGGTGCTCTTGCTTCCCCATTAATCTTCCATGTTTTCGTTTGAAATTTTATTGAAGGTGACATGACAAATTACTACTGGAGTCAATCTGTTCTTGAACAGCGCATATATATATATATATATATATATATATATATATATGAAAGGAAGAACATAGTAACGCAAATTAAATGGCCTTTCCAGGTGTGCGCTTTGCTCACATTGTAATGGTGGCTCCATAAAAATACTGCATGACTGGACAGAGCAGGAAGTCATTCACCAGTATAAGCTATTCACACATTTGTATACAGAGGCCAATTTCTTTGGAGTAATTCCGCCCCACCTCCCCAACACCACCACTAGCATGCTGTTAGCCCTAACGCAGCATGGAAACAATTTGTTTTAAATTAAGAAAGTCATCTGATAGTGAAGGTGATGGAAAAGGACTACAGCCATTCATCTCACATGTAGCTGCCTTTGAAGACTGCTGCCCAGAAATTGCAGCTGGCCACTACACTGCAAACTGGGACCAGTCGCTGATATCACTTCTTAGCAGTGCCTAAAGGAGCTCCACTGGCTTCTGGCCCACTTCTGAGCAAAATTCAAAAGTTTAACACCTTAAATAGCTTAGGGCCTAAGAACTTGAGACAGTATATTTTTCTTTCCCATCACAGAACCCAAAGTAGCATACATGGGGTCAGGGCCGTCTTAAGCATATCTGGTGCCGTTGTGCAAAGATCCCTCTGGCACCCCCCCTTCTTTCCCATAGTTGTTGCCCTTTTTTAGGGCTGGAGGAGGTGGGCAGCGGCTGGAGGGCAGCTCCTCTGGCCGGGAAGAGGCAGAGGCTGGACGAGGTGTCTCCCGGTTCAGCTGGCCATTTCGTGCCACAGTGGCCACAGCAGGCAGCACACCGAGCGAACGAGCCTGCGCTGAGCGAGCGAGGGCACGTGCGCCGCTCCCTCTCAGCGTTGGCTCGGTTTTTTCCCTTTTAGCCTTCTTTGTACCCTGCAGAATTCGGTGCTTGAAGGCTAAAGGGGGAAAAACCGAGCTAACGCTCGGCGGGAGCGGCACACGCACCCTTGCTCACTCAAAGCGCTCCTTCGGTGTTCCCCGGACTCTCGCCTGGTGCCCTCTAGAACTTGGCACCCTGGCACCCCATGCCACTAGCCTCTATGGGTAAGACGGGCCTGCATGGGGTTCCCAGGAGATTTCTGGTCCAGGTACTGACTGGACTTAGACTAGCTTAACTGCAGCAAGATGGCAGCCTCCTCTGCCTCTGAACATCACCCTGAGACCATAAAGTAAGATCTTTCTCCAGAGCACTACACCAGCTGACTCTGAAGGAAAAGGTCTTGTATGGTTGTGGTATCATCTTTGTGGAGCTCGCTTCACATGTAATACACAAATAAGACAAAACTAGGCAGATTAAGAGGGGGTGCCAGTTTTGGGGTTTTTTTAACAACATGCAGATCAATGTGGAGACAGGCACCCAAACATTAGAGTGTGATGTTTAGGTACATGTTCCATTTAGGTACAGGATGTTTAGGTAGCCCTGCTAATAATGTATAATCTTAGTCACTAAAGGACTAATGATTGAAAAAGACCAAACAGTTTTTATTGCCCCTTTTTCTAATTAATTGCATAACTCTCAATAATCCTGCTTGCCTCTGCTTCTCACCCAACAGCAACTCAATTTATTGTTAAGTACATAGAGCCAGAGGAATCACAAGCTGGCCTTGGAAGCAGCAAAAGCCCCAAGGACCCAGCATTTATTTGTATGCACATTTAAGTATCTGCCTGTCTAGCAATCAGTCAGTCCATGTCTCCTTGAAATCAAGGGGTTTTAAATACTCCTGATTGGGGATATGTATAGAACACGGCTCATAGTGAAAAGTATGCAGAATGTTTTATTCAAAACACTTTGAAGAGTCAGGCTAATTAAGTATTTGACCTACTTTACTTAACCACCAACATATGAGTGAGGGGTGCTCCCAAGAGTAACACTTTCTCTTTTATTGAGTGAAGAATGGCAAGCGGGGGAAGAAAGGTAAATACATACACACAACATATTTTTTGCATATGTCCCCAGAAACGGCGGGGATTTCTATCGTATTCTGTAAGCTCAGATAAGCACCAAGTATGATAATTCAAAATACCGGTCAGTCCTAATATATTCTCTACCCGCGAAGAGCAAGGATTAAATTTCTCATAAATAAGAACATTTCACATTTGTGTGAACAAAGGGAGCATTGACTTGTGGATTGATGTGAGTAGGCCATAACTCTAGAAGAGTTTTAACGTATGTCAAGAAGAGGGACAGAGGAATCTGTCAATCTCAGAATCTCATTTTTTAAAAACAAAATATTAAGTTCAGTTCCTCACATTTTTATATCAGCTTGCAATTTTTTAAAGGCCTTGTGAAACTTCAGCCGCCTCTTAATATGAATTTTTCCTAATATAAAACCTCTGTATGCAATGTTGCCTGTTGTGCACATTTCTGCAGCTGCTTTCCCTAATACAAATGATCTCCGTAAATTATTTCCACTAATATATGCAACTTGTGCAGACTTTCCCCTAACATGCACATTTTGGCACACATTGTTAAGTTGAAGATCTGCATCACAAAATTCAGAGAACTCTAAAGGATAGCTTTGGTTTGGTTTGCATATTCTTTCATGAAGTGCAAATTGGATCCAGACTGAATTTCTCCCCCATCTTTAGTCAAGTATTAATTGATGAAAGCAGAAATTGTAGATCCTCCAAACATGGGCTTTGGTCCAGAGTTCTGCAAGGCTCTGATGTGTGCCAAAAATTACACACAAGCTGGAGAGGCCCTGTTCTTCTCAACATTCCAGCTGGTAGAAAAACAATCACCCCAACGTGGAAGGAGGAAGGACAGTTGAGCCTCTTGTGAGAACTGTACAACAATAATAGAACCATAGAATTGTAGAGTTGGAATGGACCACAAGGATCATCTGGTCCAACTGCCTGCAATGCAAGAATCTCAACTAAAGCATCCATGACAGATGGCCATCCAGCCTCTGCTTGAAAATCTCCAATGAAGGAGAGTCCACCACCTCCAGAGGGAACCCATTCCACTGCAAAACCATACTTACTGTTGGAAAGTTCTTCCAGATGCTTAGAATCTCCTTTCTTGTAAGCTTGAATCCATGCATCTAAAGCATAAAATGTCTTATGATAATATTTGTAAATCCGCAGTGAAACTTCTAAACTTTTACTTCGCATATGGAAATGTCATTCTAGAGGGGCATTGTGTATATGTATACATGTGCATACTTTTAAAAGTGCAATGGAGGAAGAAGACACACATTTGCCATGCTAGTTGCTCAGTTACATGACATCTGATGTCAACAACTAGCTCTCAGATAAGAGAAACCTAACTAAGTCAGCATTAAAATATTTGCTTCGTTCTTTCATATGTTCATTCTTTCATATATGTTGGCCCTGTAAAAGAGTATTGGGAAATAATTCATAATGAATTGGGTGGGGGAATATTTAAAAGTACTTTTTTTGGGGGGGGGATAAGTCAGAGAGAAATTCCCAGGTGTCAAAAAAGGATATTTATGTATACCACCACTGCAGCCCGTGTTCTGCTAGCCCAAAAATGGAAAACAAGTGAGGTCCCAACTAAAGAAGAATGGCAACTTAAACTGACGGAATATGTGCAGCTTGCAGACCTAACATATAGAATAAGAGAACAAGAAGAACATATGTTTAAAGAAGATTGGGAAATGTTTATTGAATATATGGGGGGGGGAATTGTGTACACTTGAAAACGTTGGCAGCAGTAAGATAAATTCAACAGTGTAAACAAGCTTTGATGGAAGTAATAGTGGAATACTGAATGGTTTAGTTTATGTAAAATATGCAGGGATTTAGGCTGTGCAAAATGAACCTTGGAAAGATAAGAAGGGAAGTCATTAACATTTTAAGGTTGTTTAAATGAATATTCTAAAGTGTAAAACAGGAAATTTAATAAATATTATTAGCCCCCCCCCAAAAAAAAAATATTTTCATGGACAGAGGTTAGAGGAGGGGTGGAGGAGAAATTCATTTCAGTTTGCATTGGAAGGGGAACCTACCTATGTCACAGTCATCCTTCAAAATCCACACTTCTCCACATTTTGTAATGTAGTTCACCAGCCAAATAATGTGTATACAATGCATGTGCTAGGCTGGGGCAAAGTGCATGAATAATGCATATGTTAGTGAAAATAGCATTTAAAAATGCATTATTTACAAAATCTCTGTTTTACCTGCTTAGCCTTTTGTGTATTTTTATATTCTTTCACTGGCCTTAGGTTGTATTTTTGTTTTAATGGATATTGTTTTTTACATTGTACACAGTGTACACCACACATTAAAAAATTCTTTTTTAAAGAAGAATTCAAAAAATGATATTAGGGAAGATTGCTTTGCAAAAAAAACCTATATTAAGGGAAATTGCTTTTCATAAATGTGTGTAATAGAAGAAATTCACACTAAAATGCTGATGAATTTTCATGAGGACTAAAAAAAAGTTAAATGATGTGGAAATATGGAGAGTTATATTTCAGAGTGGAAAAATAAGGAAGAGTGTGTGTGTGTGTGTGTGTGTGTGTGTGTTTAAATACCAAAACTGAACGATTCACTCATTCTTCCTGGAAGGCACTGTGCAGGTGCAATGGTGGTGGTAGAGATGTATGCTTTCTTCACTGCCATCACTATTGCGAATAATCCTCTGTGACAAACTCTGATACACATTCAGTTGGATTCATTGCAAGTTTCTTTCTTTCTTTGCATTGTTGCTCATAGAACATAGAAGGCTGTCTCATACAGAGTCAGATCAGTGGCCCATCCTAGCCCAAGTAAATAAGACTTAAAGGGTGAGGGCAGATGGCTAGTCTCTCCAGAAATTTTAACACGATACACTGTATGGTCCAAAAGTTGACTATCCTAAAAAAAAAGGAGAGGGCCCTATTGCTCGATGCATCCTTAAAAAATGGAGACAGTCTATTGGTGAATTGTGGGATTTTAGAGTTGGAAGGGAACTTGGAGTCCCACACTTTGCTCAATGAGGAATCTACGATGCAAGATGCAACTGCAGCATCCATGACAGTGAAGGAGAGTCCCCCATCTCCCCAAACAGTTTGTCCCACTGTCAAACATCCCTTACCATTAGGAAGTTTCTCCTGTGTTTAAATGAAATCTGCTTGCTTGCAATTTCCACCCATCAGTTCTAGTCCTCTGGAGCTACAGAAAACAAATCTAGAGGCTTGATAGGATGGGTAAGTGGAGGACCTTTGTCAGACAAAATGATCTATCCCCATGCTTCTTCTCCTACCCTGTTCCTTGGATATTCTTATACTTGTACAAAGCCATGAGATTTCTTTGTTTTATCACCTAAAAGGAAAGCAGGGCCCAACCTGGCGAAAACAGAATAAATGATGCAAGGAGGGAGATGTAGATCAAGATAGGAAAAGAGGTGATAAGGGAACATCTATGAATTCAAATCTCTAGGGCCTGATGAGCTGCAACGAAGGGTACTAAAGGAAATTGCAGGTGTAATCTCAGAGCCTCTATCTATAATCTTTGGGAATTCTTGAAGAACATATGAGGTCTCTGCACACTGGAGGCAAGCAAATGTTATCCTCATCTCCAAAATGGGAAAGAAGAAGAAACAGGTAACTACTGATCAATCAACTTGGCAACAAGACCTGGAAAGGTCTAGAACACATAATTAAGCGGTTGGTCTGTGAGCACTTTGAAAAGGATGCTGTGATTACTAAGACCTAGCATGGGTTTCTCAAAGCCCATGCCAGATGAATCTCACTTTTTGATAGAGTTACAAGCTTCGTGGATCAGGGGAATGCTATGAATGTAGTGTATCTTGATTTCAGTAAGGCTTTTGACAAAGTCCCCCATGATATTCTTGCAGAGAAGCTGGTAAAATGTAAGCTTGACAAAGTTACTGTTATGTGGATTTGTAGCTTGTTTTGCTCCCCCTCCATCTCTTTCATAAGATGTGAAGAATTATGTATAATTCATTAACACATGTGTTTTAAGTTTCACACTGGTGGAAA